CCCCGCCCCCCCCCCAGCATGTGTGGCTACAGAAAGAAGATGTTGTCTACAAACCAGGAAGAGCCCCCCAGAACCCAACCACACTGGCATTCTGATCTCAGACCACCCCCTTCCAGAACTGTGAGAAATGTTTCTGTTGGTTAAGCCACCCGGTCTAAGGTGTTTTTGTTACAGCAGCCTGAGCTGACTATGACACTGACCTCGATTCAACAGACACACCTTGCCTCCCAGGATGCTTTGCTCCATGCCCAAGACACACTGACAGGTCCTGGCTCAGTGGCTTTGCTCTGACTTCCATGAACTTCTCCCACAGACTGAGTTTTATCCGTAGCTATGGTGCTTTGAGTTTATCCCCAAACCTAATTATGTCAGTTGCCCTTGCTACTGGAGTCATGTCGACTTAATGAAAGTTTACAGAAACTGATGAAATGTAGAAAGGAAAAGAAAGATGTCCATCAAGTCTAAGTTAAACGTAACAGACTCGATATGAAGGGAAGCCACTAAAAAAAAATGTTGTCAAATTAGGCACGGGCAAGATAACTGTGCCAGACTGAGAGGGCAAAAGCTGAAACTCAGGGACGATTCTACACTAAGGTTTCTTCCCAAGTGTCTTTAAACTTCTACTCCACGTTATATAAACAAAAATGATAAATCATTAGTGATGTAATATGGGTGTAGCTTTGGCAGAAAACATGTCTAATCAGTAGCTTCATCCATCAAACCACTGGCAAGCGATGTACATTTTTATCTAAGTACATTTTATTGTAAGTTATAACTAATTCAAGATCTGTAAGATCTGTATTTTTTATGATTCTCCTCCTTGCTGAATGTTTAAACCAATTTCAGTCACATAAAGTAAGAAGGATCCTATAAATTTTTTATCATAAAAATCGTCATTATTATAACCAAACAGATGAAATAGATACCACTGGTATCTCCATTTTGCAACTGAAAAAAATGGGCTCAAGAAACGCCCAGGATTACTTAACAGGTAAGGGGTGACTTGCCCAAGGTCACATAGAAGCTAATGGATGGGTATTTGAGCCCAACTCTGTTGCCAAAGCCCATATCTTATGCTGTTTGTCAATGACCAAGGGGGTGGATAGCTCACCCCCTAGGCCGCAGCCCAGACCCCCAGATGTTAATCAGTCTCTGCACCCTGCCCTTGCTCACCTTCAGCCCCCTAGCTTCTTACCTTAGGGCCCGGGCGTCCTGGGTAACCTGGGAGACCTGGCACTCCAAGTTTGCCCTGCGGAGAGATTATGGAACAAAGGTCAGAAATTGCAACCTGGAGGTCAGAGGGGAAAGGGCAGGATGGCTGGGACCGGTGGAGGGAGCAGCAGGGTGAGATTCAGGCAACATGCTTCAGATCCTGGCTCCTGCCTGGGAGGGGCCTGTCCTTGGGCAGCTCACTCGACCATTCCAAATATCAGTTCCCTTGTCCGTAGAATGGGGATTCAAATGCCCATTGCACCCTGGCCAGTGTGGCTCCATGGTTAGGGTGTCAACCCGCACACTGAAGGGTCACGGGTTCGATACCCGGTCAAGGGCACATATGTGGGTTGCAGGTTAGATATCTGGCCCCTGTCCTGGCGCGTGTGGCAGGCAGCAGATCGATGTGTCTCTCTCACATTGATGTTTCTCTCTCTCCCTCCCTCCCTTCCACTCTCTAAAAATCAATATCCTGGGGTGGGGATTAACAACAACAAATGCCTGTTGCATGTGCTGATTATGGGAATAAAAAGCAGGTAATGCGCAGGGAACTGCTCTGCAATGCTGAGCTGCGGGTTAGGTGAGGACAGCAGCCTCCTGAGGAGGGAGAGGAAAGGGCAGAGGGCAGAGGGCAGAAGGCTAGGGAACACGGTGACCACAGGATGAGAAGCCGAAGGGGACACTGGAGGGGGTGACCCGGGTGCATTCACCTTCTCCCCAGCTGAGCCTGGGGGCCCTTCCTCACCAGGCAGCCCCTCCTGCCCTTTCAGCCCTTCAGGACCATCCTCTCCCCGGGGACCTGGGGGTCCCGGGTGCCCCTGGAATGGAAAGGAGAGACCCTAATATCAATTCCTTTGTCACTCTTACTCCCTCCAGCTCTCTGTCTTAGCTCCAACTCACCCCTTCCCTATCTTCCCTAGTCCCCCAAACCCACAAGACCCCTCATCTGGAGATCACCTTACCCGATCGCCTTTAAGCCCCCCATCACCCTTGAAGCCTGGGAAGCCATCCTCTCCCTGAATGGGAGAGAGTACAGAGGTCAGAGGTCAGGGTTTCCGGAAAGGGACACAGGCTGAGCCCCATTATTATTATGGCTCCCCCCAAGGGATCCCCTTCTTTCTCACCATCTCGCCTTTCTCCCCTTGGATGCCCCGGTTGCCAGAGGTACCCTGAAAAATAAAAAAGCTCTCAGGTCCCTCTCCTGCTTAAGAAGGGCCCCAAACTCAGCCCCCTGCCCCAAAACAGCCAGGACAGTCCCAAGAAGATGTTGGACTGGAGTGGGGTGGGGGCAGGCCCAGAGGAAATGATCTTTCCCAAAGCCCACTAGTGTGGTGTGCAAGAAGCTGCCTCTCTCCCTCCCCTTCTCACTGGCAGCCTCCTAAGGTCATCTGCGTGAGGATGTGCAGGGAAGGCCAAATTTCCAAGTAATTAATTCCCGTCTCCCAGGGACACTGTGTCCACATTTGCATCTGGCAGGAGAAGGACGATGAGCATTCCAGGCCCCAGCCTCACTCTAAAGGCAAAGGAATGCTCCCATTGTACTGGCTACAATGCGACTCTGTGCCTGACAACAAGGCCAGTGTGTGCTCTGCTACAGCGAGATTGCTCAGTGCCACTCACACCAAACTCTGGGCTCCCGCCCCAAGGAAAGCTGCACTTGGCTACAGTGTAACTGAGCTCAGAGACTACAATGAAATTACACTGGGATACCATCTAACTATGTTTTTTGACAATAGCATGACTGTCTCCGGGTACAGAGAGATGCACTTGACCACAACGTAACTGAGCTTGGCAACAATTGTTCTCTGGCCTGGGCCACAATGTAACTAGATTCAGCTGTAACAAAGGTTTCAACTACATATAACTATGCCTGACTACAATGTTAATCTGAGTCTGGCCACCCACAGGACTCTGTGGCCGGCTATAATATAGCCTCCTCCCTGGTTATAGTGTAACTAAGCTTGCCTACAATGCAAAAGCGTAAAGAGACGACTCTTGGCTACCACCACACTCTGTTCTTAGACCACAGGTAAAGTGTTCTGGTACTTGGCTACAGTGTAACTGGATTTAGCTACCAAACAGATGTGAATTCCGATGTAAACAGTGCCCCTCTATTTAGCCACAGTGCAGCTCTTGGCTGTCCCCCCATTGCTGTGCTTGTAGATCATGTGACTCTGGGCTTGAGCTTTAAAACAACCTCTGCTTAACTACAATGTGCTGACCTGGCCTTGGGCGTGGCCTATGTGCTTACAGTGAAGTGGGTTCAGCTTCAAATGGATTTAACTGTTCTCAACTACAAGGCAACGACCACACCACAATGCTGTCCTTTGGCTGTTCAGCTCCAAAGTAACACACACACACCCATATATTGCCCCTCAGACCCAAACCACACTCTGCCACTACACCTTGCCTGGCAGATTGATTCCTCTCAACACACATGCAGATATTTCTGATGGAGCAGGTTCCCCAAAGCCAATGCCAATGAGTCACCCCTACCTGCAGGCCCCAAGTATCACCTACCTTCACGCCCCGAGGTCCAGGATATCCCCGAGGGCCTGCTGACCCTGGTGGGCCCTGAGATGAAGATAAGATTAGTGCCATCCTGTCCTTCCCCCTTCCATGGTTTCAGTGCCCTCATCTCTCTCATTAGCCCCTGACTCCTGGCCCTGCCTACCCTTCTCCCAACCCAGCTTCTCTCCAGATCACTTACCTGGGTCCCTTTCTCTCCTGTGGGGCCCTCATGGCCTGGGTGACCCTGGGGAAAAATATTAAGTTGTCAGAAGCCTACATCTACCACTCAAATTCCCAAGCCTCCCCTTTCTTCTTCCTCCATCTTCCAGCATCCAGTTCTCACCGGAGGGCCATCAGATCCTGTGAGGCCTGGAATTCCTGGGTGTCCAGGGGGACCCTGAAAGGTAATGAACAGTAGGAGGAGACAGAGGGTGTCAGAGCCCAGCATTCTGCTACCTCAGGGTTCCAGAACAAGCAGATCCCTCGTGCCAGAAAATCTNGGGGACCCTGAAAGGTAATGAACAGTAGGAGGAGACAGAGGGTGTCAGAGCCCAGCATTCTGCTACCTCAGGGTTCCAGAACAAACAGATCCCTCGTGCCAGAAAATCTAACCCCAGCTCTGCCCAGACTTGCTTTGTGACTGTGGCTAAGCCCCCTCCCCTCTCTGAGCCTCAGAAATCCTCTGCTTGGCCAGTTAATGTATTTCACATAGATGTCTCTCTCTCTGTCTGTCNTAACCCCAGCTCTGCCCAGACTTGCTTTGTGACTGTGGCTAAGCCCCCTCGCCTCTCTGAGCCTCAGAAATCCTCTGCTTGGCCAGTTAATGTATCTCACATAGATGTCTCTCTCTCTCTCTCTCTCTCTCTCTCTCTCTCTCTCTCTCTC